CCCCCCCACTGTCCCTTGTCCCCCCGCCATCCCATCAGACCCAAGCCCCCCCTTCCTCTCCCCTCCTTACCTGCAGGCCAGGGGGGCCACTGAGGCCAAGGTGCCCCCGTGATCCCTCGTCTCCTTTTTGCCCAAACATCCCCTGCTGCCCGCGGCGCCCCGGCTCCCCGTCCGCCCCCTGAGAAGGCAAAGGTTTGGGTCAGCCCCCACCTGCCCCACAGAGACCCCGATATGTGGGGCAGGAGGGCAGGGAAAAGAGCCAAGAGGGAAAGTGTGTGTGGGGGGGGGTTCAGTCGAGGGAATAAATGGGGTGGGGAAGGATGCTCAGCACCCCCTACTCACCGCGGGGCCGGGGTGCCCAATGGGTCCTTGGATTCCTGGGGGTCCCGGGGGGCCCTGTGGGTCAGGAGCACCCACACAGGGTTTAGGGCAGCCCCCAAACATCTCCCACCTCGCTCTGCCCTCAGGAGAACCCTCCCTGGGGCAGAGCAGCCCCCCCAGCACTCATTTCTCCCACTTCCCTCTGCTCCCGGAGCCGCTCTGCCCCTGGAAGAAGCCCCCCCAGGGGGCAGAGGAGCCCTTCCAGGGGGCAAGAGCAGCCCCCCCAGGGGGCAAAGCAGCCCCCCCTGGCACTCATCGCTTCTTCCTTGTCCCCTTTGCTGCCTTTCTGTTCAGGGACCCCCATCTCACCCTGTGGCAAAGGGAAACTGGTGAGAGCGGAGAGGAGGGAGAGTTGGAGGCCAGGGAAAGCTGCCACGGCTCGGGAGCCACGGCCAAGGAATTGCCAGCTCCGGGGAAACCTGCCACCACCTGGGAAGCGATGCCAAGGAATCCTGCCAGGATCAACAGCCCGGGGAATCCCCGCTCCCAGGAAGCCAGAGGGAAAATCTACCCCATTCCGGAGCGGATGTGCCCTCTGGGAGGGGACTTGTCCCCAAAGTCTGTCCCCTGAGCTTGGAGCCATGTCTGGAGGTACCAAATTGTGTCCCCCTGACCTACCTTGTCCCCATCTTCTCCAGCAGGGCCGGGGGGGCCACCTGGACCCGGCAGCCCCACGGGGCCCTGGATGCCATCGTATCCGGGAGGACCCATGGGACCTCGCTCACCCTGTGGAGAAGGAGGGGAAGGGCTGAGAGCAGGGCTGGCCGGGACCCACGGCCTGTCCCAGCGCTGCCCCACATCTCCTGCCTCACCCCAAACACCCCAAGCACCTACCGAGGAGCCCCTCTCACCCACAGGACCTGGGGGGCCCTGTGAACCCCCCCGGCCTGGCAGTCCAATGCCTCCAGCAGTCCCCGTGGGGCCTTGCTCTCCGGGAGAACCCTGGGGAGAAGACAGAGGTGGGGTGGAGGGAAGAAGGCCCTAGTTGAAGGCCCCAGAAGTCTTCCTCCTCTCCAAAGAAACCCTTCTCTTCATCAACACCAAGGATTTCCAGCAAAAATTGCTTGAATGAGCATATATATTCCAAGGGACACCCCAAAACTCCAGGGAACCCCTCAAATATTGTGATGCTTTGTACTCACCGTGGGTCCGGGGGGCCCGGGGGGACCTTCCCCACCCTTCAAGCCAGGTGGACCCTGGAGGAGAGGAGGGAAGATGGTTGGAAAGGACCCTACTTCCCCCTCCCAGGACCATACCAGGATGTGTCCCAGCACAGCACCGTCTCTCCGGGTGCCCCCCGTGTGCCAGGAAAGCCACGGATCCCTGGGGGACCGCTCTTACCGGGGATGCCAGCGGGGCCAGGGTCACCCTGCTAGGAGGAGAGAAGAACCAGAAAGCTTTGCTCCATCCCCACCAAGCTGGGAAGAGTCTTCTCTGTGTCCTGCAGAGCTCAGAGGAGGACCCAGCCCCACTGAGCTCTGGTTTGTGGGGGTCCAGGCGAGCAGCCGGCCCCCCGGCGCGGCTCCTACCTTGGCTCCTTCTCGGCCAGCAGCTCCAGGCAGGCCCTGTTCCCCGGGGGGGCCGGGGGGTCCTGGGTGCCCCCTTTCTCCCACGGGCCCTGTCTTGCCTGATTTCCCCTGTGGGGAGAGAGCAGGGTGAGCTCTGGGGGTTCATCGGGTTCCCTTCAACGCAAACACATCCATCCTGGGTACTCACCTGGGGTCCCACCACCCCTGTGGGGCCGGGGGGGCCGGTTTTGCCATGAAACCCCTGCAGAGGAGAGAGAGGTTAAAAGTGGGTGTTTCAAGGTGTCCCACACCCACACACCCCCCCCAAAAAAAAGGGAGGGAGAGGACCCACCGGCTCCGCACGCTGGCCCGGGTGTCCTGGCAAACCGTCCTTCCCGGCGGGACCCTGGACAGGAGCAGAGGTAACGGGGTTTGGGGGGGGCATAACCAGGCTCCCCCCTCTCCTGCCTGCACCCCATGGGGTGCAGCAGAAGGAGAAGGATGTGCCAGCCCAGCTCTGCCCCCCACATCGTGGGGGTCCCCCCCCACCACTTACGAGGGGACCCTTTGTGCCTGGGAAGCCATTGGGTTCCTGCGGACCTTGGGGACCCTGTGGGAGGGAGAGAAAACCCACAGTCAGCAGCAGGGGGGCTTTCCCCACAGCCCCACAGCGCCCAGACCCACTCCCCACACCCAGCACCCCCTTTTCCCCACGCTCAGTCCCTTTTTGGGGTGTTTTTAAAGGAGGCCCACCACTTACGAGGGGACCCTTTGTGCCTGGGAAGCCATTGGGTTCCTGCGGACCTTGGGGACCCTGTGGGAGGGAGAGAAAACCCACAGTCAGCAGCAGGGGGGCTTTCCCCACAGCCCCACAGCGCCCAGACCCACTCCCCACACCCAGCACCCCCTTTTCCCCACGCTCAGTCCCTTTTTGGGGTGTTTTTAAAGGAGGACACCCCCCATTTACCTTCTCTCCCACGGCGCCGGGGGCTCCATCATGGCCAGGGTCTCCCTGGGGAGATATAAACAGGCTGAGGACGACAGCGAAGACCCCCCCCATCCCCACTGCCCCACATCAGACCCATGGCCAAGGGGAGATGGGGACGTGGGGGACATTGAGGACCCTGTGGCCAGGCTCCCACCTACCTTGGGGCCGGGTTTCCCTGTGGGACCGGGCAGACCTCGCTCCCCTGGGAGTCCCTGCAGGAGCAGGAGGCAAAGAGTGGGGTGAGGAGGTGTGGGGCAGGGAGTGGGGCTGGGAATGGGGTAAGGAAAAAGGAGACAGGGCTGGAAGAGGGGGAAAAAGGCAGGAAGTGGTGTAAGAAAAGGGGAGATGGGGCTGGAAGAGGGGGGAAAGGGCAGGGAGTGGGGTAAGAAAAGGGGAGATGGGGCTGAAAGAGGGGGGGAAAGGCAGGGAGTGGGGTAAAAAAGGGGAGATGGGGCTGGAAAAGGGGGGACAGGGCAAGGAGTGGGTTAAAAAAAGGGGAGATGGGG